CAGAACCTCCAGACCCATCCAACCCCCTCCCGCTCCTTGTCCCCTGACTGCCCCCTGCTGGGACCCCCCGCCCCTTATCCAACCCCCCCCCAGGACCCCACCCCCATCCAACCCCCCCGCTCCATGACGGCCCTGACCCCTATCCACACCCCCACACCCCTGACAGGCCCCCCAGGACTCCCACGCTTATCCAACCCACCCCATTCCCCGTCCCAACCTCACCCCCCGAACCTCTGCCCCATCCAACTGCCCTCTGTTCCCTGACTGTCTCCCAGGACTCCCTGCCCCTTATCCAACCCCCTCATTCCCCTCCCCCTTACCATGCCGCTCAGAGCAGCATGTCTGGCAGCCGCCTGGCCGGAGCCAGACACGCTGCTGCGCTGCCCTGCAGGAGCACGCAGCCCTGCCGCCCAGAGTGCTGCCCGCACGGAAGCATGGTTGTGAGGGAGGAGGGACAGCAGCAGAGGGGCTAGGGGCTAGCCTCTCCGGCCGGGAGCTCAAGGGCCGGGCAGGATGGTCCTGCAGGCCGGATGTGGCCTGCGGGCCAAAGTTTGCCCACCTCTGGCCTAAAAGGAAGAGGCTGCTGAAGAAAAACCGAAGAGGGCCCACCAAAACGACCTGGCTGCTATAGTTGCTACTGACGTCTGTAAAGGCAGGATACAAACTGGGCAAGAGACACAAAAGGGCTGGAGCTAGCTGAATGGAAAGAGCTAAAATGGAAGTCTCATTTGCTGGCATCCTACCTAATTCACAAGAGAGGGGAGTCAACCCATTAACCTGCATTGTCATTATGATGTAAAAAAAAAAAAAGATATACCAGTGTTACTGAATTAGATTAGCTTTACCTAGGACACCCAGGCAGGGGAGGCTCCCCCACCACAGGATCAAACTCCATCAGACTGGAAAGCTGAAAATTGTAGGTGGTATGTCAGTGTGTTGCACTGCAACAGTCACTAAATTAAAGGACATTTTAGCTACATGAAGAAATTTTTGAAACTATTTTTCTTTTTCTAATCAAGGTAGCAGCAAAATCACATCTTAACATACTGGATGGGAGTGAAAATACTGGATGACTGCAGCAGCCCGTTTGGTCCTCAAATATGTGAAGGACTAGGAATATACTATTATTACCACTCAGAAAAAGAATCAAGTCACTTTAGGAAAAACACCCTTCCCCCCAAATTATAGGTGGGGAAATAATATGTGATCATGTAGTTAAAGACAGTATCATAACACACATGCATAAGGAGCCCAATTAAGAATGCACAGGCAACCTTAATTCTGGCTTTTCCTAACTTTTGAGTGCTTGATTTTGCAACCTTAGTAATGATCTTTTAATGTAGTTTTTGTGTTTAACATTATATATAAAAGTCTATAAATCTGAGAATTTTAGTATCTGTCAGTTACAAATTTTTAAGCAGTTTTACCTTCAATGCGCTGAGAACAGCAGTGAAGATATTAAGCTGCACAGCTTGTTGGCGGACACCTTTAGCCTGTTTGACACATTCAGCAAAGTGATCCAACATTTGTAGCCTACAAAAGAACAATTAACATCATCACTAAGAGAGACACACTTCCAAAAAACATACTGAAAAGACACTAAATTTTGCCTAAAGGGAAAAAGACCAATGAAAAAGAGAAAAAAAAAAGTAGTAGAAGGGTTTAAACAAGATCCTGTGAATTCTGCTATTTGGCTGCAGAATGTATTGGGCCCTATGAAAATCTTTCCCTGTCTCACCTGGTGGCCTGAGAACATGCTGCCAGGCAGAGGGGGTAAAGACCTCTGATTGGCTCTCTGCTGGCTCTGCCTTGAACTCAGCCACAAGCAACAGATTGTCATTTCAGAAGAAATGATTGCTTAGAAGAAACAGCGACTGCAGACAGACTTTGCAGTATGACCGGAACTGTGGGGACAGGAGAGAAGAAAAATTCACTTGCCGCAATATCCTCCACCTTAGACACAATGCCGGGAATAAGGAGAGTGCAAAGTGTAATTCACATTCTCTCCTTCCACCTACATGCTGCTGAGAAATTAGAGGAGGGGAGGAGAATATGAACTGGCTTTGTGCCTCACCTTTCCCCTAGAGATTCCAGGAATAGCAGGGAATAGAGCCAGCAGGATCCCTATTCGGGTAGCAGTGGTTTGGCACGTAGGCTACAGAGTCTTTTCATTCAGATGCAGATAGACTTTGTCATAGTTATCCATGCCACTGCAAAGCTGAATTACTGCAAAGTGTTCTACATGCTAATACACCTTAAATCAATTATAAAAATGACCTCACCAGACATTAAGTTGAATTTTCAGGGCTGTAAACTAGGAAAAAGATCTTTTACTTCTAACATGAGTACATGTGATATGGAACCCACTGAGAGAACAGAACACCAGAAGTAGATTGACTTTCTGCGAGAACTATAATCCTATTAAATTAAAAAGGAAAGACAACCATATATTGAATTGCACATTAACTTAGACTGACCTGTGTTTGTAAGAAACATGAGGAAAAACCACACCAAAGAGCGCCACAGAGGCATCAATGACTGATACTCCCAGGGGAAGGGGGCCAGGCACAGCTTCACCAGCTGGGATGCGCAAATAAATGGAAGACGGGTCATGCTCCAAAGCTCCACTTCCAGATGCACTGTTTGGCTGAAGCTACAAATAACCACAAGATATTAATACCTTCTAAATACATATTTGCACATACTTATACTGAACATACTGAACTAACCAAACTACATATGCAGCAACTTAAAACTACATTACTCACCAGCAGTTAGAATTCTCTAACTACACTCCTACAGTCTCAGTCACCCTTGGTACAGATGAGGTGGGTGAATTAAAGACAGTGACAAAATTTGGTTCTGACAGCTGCTCTGGAAGCAGTGAACACAAAGAGGTATTTCAGGGCAAAAGGTTAAATCGTCATTTCCTCAGCCTGTGCTAGAGGCGGAAAGCCAGCGTAAATCCTGTAACAACTCAAGGAGTAATGATTCCCCAAACAGATCAATCTGTGTTCTAGAAATTGACTTCTGTGACATAAGATAAACATCTCTTTAAACTCACCCTCTTATCCAGGTATGCCATCAAACAGCAGCAACCATACGTGAAAAAAAGGTGAACTTTCTCATATCAAGTATTTATTGTTATTTAAGTGATAAATAATGTATGAAATATAGTTTGAGGCTAGTGCTTCTGTTGTCTCCTGGGCAGGCAGATCAAACAGAAACTGAGTAGTCACTGAGACCTCTTCATGCCTCTTTATACACTGCTTAGATTGTAGTTCCATGCAGACAGTAGGACGCATTCAGCTCCAAACATTAAAAGCTATGAACACTGCTAGGTTTCATTGATCAGGACATGCAATTCCAAGACAAGGATGTATGGATGCAAGTATTGGAATGCAAATTTATAGAGAAGAGTGGGACAATAAAACAGACTGCTCACCCCAATAGCCTCAAAGGTGAGGAGGGTTAGCCTGGGCCAGCAAGGGAAAGAAGGTCCTTTCCCCTCCCACTCCACATGGGAGCTCAGCTTCCTTGTGGGCTTGAGAAGGGGGAGGAGGCATCCTAACTGACTTGGGCTTCCACTGTACCTTTCAATCCAGTCATTGCTTCCTGTGCACCCAAGGGGAGGGTTTATAAACCCTTACCTCCACCCAGTGTACCATTCTACTTCTGGGAGCAACAGATCCCCTTCCCCCTGAATATTAGGCTAGGGCTGGGTTTTGGGGGCAGCTGTGGGCATCATACTAGTCACCTTTTAGGGGCTGAGGAGTTTTTCCCACACTGCCAGATTGACCTGGACAGAGAGGTATTTTCACCTTCCCCTCAGCAGTCCAGGGACTATGTGGGCAGGTTAGGTTATAGAGTTCATGTTGTTGCAACCTGACAGCATAAATGCTGGAACTAGGGTTTCTGGGGTGCTGCTGCACCCCTAGGTTTGAAATGGTTTCCATTCATAAACAGGGCTTACAGTTTGGTTCAATGGCTCTCAACACCCCCACTATACAAATTGTTCCAGCGCCCCTGCCTGACGGATGCCTAAAACAGAGGAGTTGGGACCAGAATTACAGGAAACATATCCCCTAAGGGTGGGAAATGGAGCTGGGCCTCCTAACATCTGGTACAGTGAAGGATCAAACCCCTTTCTCCCCTCCCCCCTTTAAACTTTGTACAAGAGGAAGCTATTGGAGTCCCAGCATTAATGTTGAGACCAGGATAAAAGTTTTGAGTGAAGAGAGGGGAGGGCACTGAGGACAGCTCTCTTCTAGGTGGCACTGATGACCCGTGCACTGGTTGAGTTATTGCCAGATAATTTCCCAGATGCATTTGACTAATAAAGTTGTGGCCTCGTTAAATAACATTCCCAGTGTCTTATCTTTCTTCCAGTGATGTCTGGCACAAAACACAACTGGACCAATGTTAAGAGTTGATTATCTGCAAAAATTCATTAAAAGGGTCTTCAAAAGAAAAATTTCCCCAATTATTTTATTTTTCACATGCCTATCAAAGTTTCCAATAACCAAACAGATTTCCTTCAAAAATGTAAGAAGTTCCTCCTACTCCCAATAAGACTTTGCACATCACCATCCAGATGGAAGGATATGATTTCACACTGTTGCTTTAAGAAGAAAAAAAGTCCCTTTTTGGTATAACACTAGTTGCAATGTACATACTGTGACAACAGTTCCATTATAAACTCTGCTTCTTTTGCATTTTAGAATACCTCAGCTGGAGGAAAAAAATTATGGGACTTATTGCTAAATCCAGAAAGATTTAATTCACCTTTTAAAAGCAAGGATAGTTGACTAACCACAACTTGATAAACTGTGCAATGATATTCTCTACTGATCTCTTTTTTATTTTATTTTTTGGTAGCTAGTTTTACCAGAAATTTACACGCATATGGCAGGCTTTAAAACCTGTAAAATCCTTTGAGACAAGCTTGGAAATCAGTAGAATTACACTGGTCTTCCAGATCCATAGTAAGAGTGCAGTTTCAGTTTTTAAGATTTTATTCAATAGAGCCAAGGATAAGAGGAATTTTATTACTGATTTTTTTTGTTACCTGATCTTCAATTGATTTATGATCCGTTTCCTGCAGCCAAGAGCCAAGAAGAACACTGTCATCATAATGGCAAAGAGATCTAAGCAGCGATGTAGTTGTATTAGCAGAATTGTCTGTCAAAGTGAATTCTGCCACTAGCTCCCGAAGGAGTGCATTAAATGATCCTAGAAAACAGAACTGTACATTAAACCTAGTAATAATTCTTGGCTCTTCCATAGACTTCAAGGCATTTTACAAATGCAGGCAAGTAGCATTATTCTCATTTTACAGATGGAAAACTGAGGCAAAGAGCAGTAAACTTGATTAGCACAGGGTCAGTGGCAGACCTGCACACAGAACCCAGAAAGGACCCTGACTCCAAAGCCCAGTGCCTCACCCAGGGCATCATGCTGGCTCCTATAAGATCAAGATCCCAATCTTGCAAACACTTATGCATATGAGTGGTCCCACTGAGTTCACAAAGTTACTCACATACATAAGTATTTGCATGATCAGAGTCTATTTTTGTAAACATCATATTGCCACAGAAAACAAATGTACTATTGCTCTTTGCCCCATCTACTAATATTGATCTAATACACTTGTTTCATAATGTAATATATTAGCACGTCTAAGCTTATTAAACTCTGAATTACTGACATGCAGAATGAAAAAAAAATAGAATACAAACAACTTCTTTTGGACCAGAAAATATGGCGCATTTGAAAAATACAAAATCATTTTAACGTTTGAGTGTATTTATTTCCTCAAGGACTGTGTGTACTTTCTAACATTTAGGGAATCTAAACTGAATAAATGATCCTTCATTAGAATTCTCTGAGAAAATTCACACACGTAAATAAGAAAATAAGCATTTTGTCCTAAGTGCAGTTACATTTACATTTACAAGTTAGATGTCAACTTAATGATGCTAACCTTTTGAACACTTGAAATCAATATATTTTATACATCCACAGTTTGGATTGATTTAAATCAAAGCTGATTTTAATCAGCAAACAGGAAACACTAATTTAAATAACAGATTTTAATCTTGTTTTTCCATTTAAATTTTTAGTTATTTCCATAGAAAAAGGTTGATTCTCATTTGTGGGTGACCATTAAAGCATGCTGATTTGCAACTAAATATAAAACTTTTATACCAGATTTCTTTTTTGCTAAGCAAGAGGATGTATACCTATACACATTCATGTAAGCAGTTATATATCTTAACTTACATTTTTCAGATTCCTAAATTTTACATTTTTTATTATCGTGAATGGTGCATTTACTTACTAGATGATTACTAATTTTTTACTTGTGATTTGTGTCAAGGTCTATTTGGATGGAAATTCAAATTCAACTAAATATGCATAATAACAGCATTTTAATTTGTATTTATGTATTTATTAGTAGTAGTTAAATAAAACTACCTTAAATGTGCAGGATACATAAGAAAAAAAGTTTATCAAATCATGTTTTGCATTTAATACTAACTGATTTATTAAACAAAGAATCTGTAATCAATGAACTCCAGTGATTGTTTCTGGTCAACATGTCCTTCAAGATTTTAGAACTAGTAGATCTCATCCTTTCACACCTAGTTTCTATTCACAGAATGAAAGAGGAAAACAAGCTTTCCTGCTTTCCCAATTGGTGTCTTAACTTTGAATGAAGTAATCATTGAACTAACCTAGCTGAATAAACAGAAATGAAGAAAATATTCACTCTGCACTTCAGAAAAGGCTGTCAAAAGTTGGTTTAACACTTCAGTAAACTCTGGTTCCACATGCTTAGCCAGTGACTTCCCCAGTTAAGTGGTTTGACTTTCTTTAAAACTTAAGCAGCAAACATGTACTGCTTAATATTATTTTTTAATTTAATTTAAATGATTGTAATAACTTATATAAATTTAGGCCTAAAAATAATTTTTCAAAGTTTCAAATTTCATTTTAAATGTTTATTTAAAAACATAAATCTGTATTTAATGTAAATTAAAGGATCCAATTTAAAGAAAAATATCCAATTTTAATTTTTAAGGTTTTTTAACTATGGATTTTTATCCACTATGTATATCAATCTAGAACTGCATTAATGTTAAAGACTAGAAAACCATAAACTTAAAACCACGAAATGAGTCTTATCTCTATCCTTGGTGTATCAGCCTTAAGATATCATTCTGTATCTGCCTCTTTATATCAGTTTATTGTACTTGTTAAATAAAACATAAAATACTACAAACTTAAAATTCTCCTAAAACTCTACAAATTGGAACTTTATCTTCTGTACATATACATTACATACACTGTATCTGTTGTGCTGTACTATGCAGTATACAAATTATGCATCTAAACTGATAATATAATATTTAAAATTGTAATACTATATTCTTCATCCTCTAGAGTTTCCATTTTTATCTTACTAATGTTATCTTTTATTCTGAAACAATGACATGGGATCTTCTTAGCTCTGTATTTGCACTGAAATCACAGAAATTCAATTGCTTTGTGTTAACAGAAATAATAAACCAAATACATATGGAAGATTTATCACACCTTTGAACTCTATCATTTCTTTTAACCATTAATTTAGATCTTAAATATTTAAGCTGCACTGTAAAGATTTTGAAACAATGATTTCTTTTCAACTGGCATGGATCTAAGCCTTACCCACCAAAGAATCCATCAAAAGGCATAACTACACTTTCTTCTTTGGTAACTCCCTTTAAAAATATATATTTATTTACCTTCATAAGTTTTTGGAGGTAACAAAGCCAAAATGTCATAAAGTCTTAAACGGACCATAGCTGCGCTAGCTTTAAGATGAGCTCCATGGGCTTTAATTACCGATGGAATGCTACAGTGTGAAAAAGAAGAGAGTTATGTACAATCAAGCATTAATTATGTTATGATATAGGGCATTTACGAATGTTTTTAAAGTAAGTGGTAGTTGAGATAACAGTATACTGCTCAGAAAACTATTCTGAATAAAGTTACTCAGATTATTAATTTGTTTTCAGAAGTAACAGTACTGAGAGCATCTTTAACCCTGTACAAATCAGATCAAAATACATTAGTAAACTATTGCTACTTTAAATTTCTTTTTTTGTTTTGTTTTCCGTATTGTATATTTAAAACCTTTTCATCTATTGCATTGTAAAATAGGCCACTTTTATTAACAAACTTCATTTTTACTTCTAATTTCTTGATGTTCTTATTCTTTGTGAAGGGATTAAGGAATCAAGAATTTATTGAGCTAGAAATCCAAAATCAAAAAGGGAGTTTAAAATGACGAAGCCAAGTCAATTGTTGTATGCAGTGTTGTTGTAGCCATGTCAGTCCCAGAATATTAGGAAGACAAGGTGGGTGAAGTAATATCTTTTATTGGACCCACTTCTATTAGTGAGAGAAAAATCTTTCAAGCTTACATAGAGCTCTTTTTCTTCTTCTTTCCCAGACCTACCTTGTCTCTCTAAAGAGAAGTCAAAACAGGCCCAAAATATAAAGTTATATTTTGTAAAAGTTTATCACAAAAGACCAAAATAAGTGTTTTCATGAAAATTAAAAAAAAAAAAAAATCTTACTTCGAGAAAAAGAAATGAGCACTGCTCTGTGGGCAATCCAAGGACTACAACATAAGGTCACAGCATGAGAAACTACAAGTAAAACTAACTAGAAATACAAGTGAAACTTACTGAACCAATTTCAATATCCAGGCTCAATGAAAAGTAAAACTCAGACCTGAAACAGTGACAACTTAGATTTTTTTTTCCATTTTGATAATGTAAGCCATTGTTTGTAATAGCAGTAAAGATTGTTTTAACAATGGCATTTTTAGCCTCAGACTGTCCCTTTAAAAATTTATGCAGAAAGGAAGAGAATTTTAAAAGCTGTCTACTTACTGTGACATCATTGTCATGGCACATTCTATAGGTGTCATTAATTTTCTGATCACATCTTCAGTAAGGAGCTCAGGACAGTGAGCAACGAAACTCCTCATAGCTATCAATGTAAAACATTTCAGTCAAAGTTAAATTGCAAGAGAAATGGAAATAAATTTCAGCAAGTAACCAAGCTACGGATGTTAACAGGATATCAAAAAAGAAAACGTTTAATCACATTTTAATTAACTCATAGGTCATAAAACAATTAGTAAGATTACACACTGAAAAAAATTAATATGTAACAAGTTTTGTGCATGCTTTTTCAATTACTTTTTGATAGAAAGAGGTGAATTACAAATTCTCTGTATGAGTATGTTATTTGTGATGTTGAAATTAGCATACATTTAATGAAACAGGACATGAACTTTCACCACTTCTTTGTGATCCTTACCGCACAAAGCTCCAGCACGACCTTCCAATGTTACTTGCCAGGTAAAAGAGTCTCCTCGGGCTTTTTCTGCTTCTAGCTCCTTTAGAGAACGAGGAAATACATTTCGCCATAGCAGCAGCATCTTAGGTAGATGGTACCGAACAACTGAAGGACCTAGCCAAGGAAATGTTTAGCTGAAATTGCAGCATCTATTTATAAATATATAAATAGCTATATATAAATTGCAGCAAGGGTGGTCTAGGTTGGACATTAGGAAAAAGTTCCTAACTGTCAGGGTGGTTAAACACTGGAATAAATTGCCTAGGGAGGTTGTGGAATCTCCATCTCTGGAGATATTTTAGAGTAGGTTAGATAAATGTCTATCAGGGATGGTCTAGACGGTATTTGGTCCTGCCATGCGGGCAGGGGACTGGACTCGATGACCTCTCGAGGTCCCTTCCAGTCCTAGAATCTATGAATCTATGAATCTATGAATGTTCAATATAATAAAAAATAAGGGTATTTCAATTAATAACTTAAGACTAAAATAAACTGCAACGCAATAGAGATTTCTGAATACAATTACTTTTTGCTGATTGCTTACTTTTTGCATTTCCTCCTGCTAGAACAATGAAAAATAAAGGAAGTCATTCTCATTTTTAGGTTTAAAGTGCTGTAAATAAACTGCAAGGGTATTTTTATTTGTTGACTAACAACTGTTTTTATTAGAGAGACAAGGTAGATGAGGCATAGCTCGAAAGCATGTCTCTTTCACCAACAGAAGTTGGTCTAATAAAAGATTTTACCTCATCCACATTGTCTCTCTAATATCCTGGGACCAATATAGCTACAACAACACTGCAAACAGGGCCAGCTCCAGGCACCAGCTTGGCAAGCTGGTGCTTGGGGAGGCCACTCCGGACAGGGGCGGCAGGTCCAGCTATTCGGCGGCAATTCGGCGGACAGTCCCTCACTCCCGCTAGGAGCGAAGGACCTTCCACCAAATCGTCGCCGCAGATCACGATCGCGGCTTTTTTTTTTTTGTTCTGTGTGTGTGTGTGTGTGGCTGCTTGGGGCGGCCAAATCCCTGGAGCCGGCCCTGACTGCAAACAACTGTTTTATTGGCTATTTTAATTCATGGAAACATATACATTAGCCTTAGGTTCTGCAGAGTCTTGTTTATACAAATGCTAAATTTGGGGGAAAATTTAAGTTGACAATGTCCCTTTAAAAACCTGGATGTTTTTATAATAATATATTAGTGACTTCTACAACCAGTCTATATTTTTCATCGTATTCTCAGTTTGAGCAAGACATGTTCTTTTAACTAAGCTAAATTGTTCACATTACAAACAAAGTTAATAACTACCAGTTAGTTTTTAAGTATCTAGCTTTAATGGTAAGTTTTTCAAAACGTATTAGAAAAAGTTTTGGAGGGCATAAAATCCACTGTTGCAAACTTTTTCCTTAAAAAAAACAAAACAAAACAAAACAACAGAAAAAGTCCCCAGAAGGGCAACCAAGATAAAATTTAATTTAACAATTAAAAACTAATTGTTTAATTAGTTGTTACTATGCATATTTAGTTGAAGTATTTCAAGGCTCACACATGACAACAAGTTTGCAAAACGCAGGATTACTTAGAGCAAAAAGAATAGACTTGAGAAAGAACCTGATTGAGAACAGTGAATAGAGATCTGTCCCCTTTTCAACTTGTGTCATAATATAACTAGAAAATTGTTACTGGATCACTAAAATTCAAAGAAAGGATATTTAAAACCTCTCAGTGTATGATCAATTTGCAGAATGCAAGGCCACAGAAGGTCAGAGTCAAATACTGGGTTGGATTTTAAAAAGACAACTAGATAATTAAGACCATTAAGAGCTGTAGTTGTTCAGTTATAATTATTTATACTGTTCCACAGAGATGAGATACTGAGATGGGTAATCACATCTCGTATTTATAAAAGCAATAAAGAATTCCTTCTGTCTGTATTCAGCATTATATAATTAAGTAAGGCACATTCATTATGGAATGCGGGGGAGGGGTTTGCCTTCCTCCAAGGCATCAGCTACTTGCTATTGCTAAATGCAGAACTAAACAGAAAAATGTGATCTGGTTTGGTAAATCAGCTTATATAAAAGCATCAGTATACCACTCCAGTTTAACTTAAAAAGGGATAAATGAAAATGTAACTATTGAATTATGAACATGATGCTGTACAAACAGAGTAATTTTCCCCCTAGAATAAATAATCTTGTGCTAGGTTTTTGATTGCTCCAGCACAAAGTGTATTTACCACAACAGATGCACTACAAATGCTGGACAAGAATTAAAACAATATAACTAAAATAAAAAGCAACTACTAGTACAAACCTAAAGTCATAAGTGCACCAAGTAAAAGCCACCCAGCTTGAGTGCGCTGTAAGGACAGTCTGCTATTTTGAGCAGCAGTTCGTAACAGATCCTCAGCAATACTGACTACCATCTGCAACAACAGGATAAAGAGTAATAGATTTCAAATCTAAGTTAAATCGGCTAAGGAAGCTGCCACAAAGTAACCTATTACACATGCTCTACTGCAGGGGTAGGCAACCTATGGCATGTGTGCCGAAGGCGGCACATGAGCTGATTTTCAGTGGCACTCACACTGCCTGGGTCCTGGCCACCAATCTGGGGGGGGCTCAGCATTTTAATTGAATTTTAAATGAAGCTTCTTAAACATTTTAAAACCCTTATTTACTTTACATACAACAATAGTTTAGTTATATATTATAGAAAGAGACCTTCTAAAAATGTTAAAATGTATGACTGGCACGCGAAACCTTAAATTAGAGTGAATAAATGAAGACTCGGCACACCACTTCTGAAAGGTTGCCTACCCCTGCTCTACTGTATGTTAAAATGTTCTCAAATAAACAATCTAACATTTTGTAAAGACCAGATTACTTTTTAGGCAGGTTATCTACTCCTATGTATGTGCAATGCTGATACAGTCAACTTGTCTGTGTTATCAATTGATTCTTGAAACAGAATTTAATGAAATCACAACGAGAAAACAAAGCTGTGAAACAATAACTAAAAGCACACAAAAAATAACTTTTGTTCTTTATCAGTCATTAGTTAGGTTTCAACGATGTTTTAAAGGTCAGAGTCCCGCAGTCAGCTGGAACATTTATTTCTCAATACAAATATCTTTCACTACAGTACAATTCCAGAGATTAAACGTTCTTCATCATCAACTCACTTTTCCCTTCGCATGAGGAATACCTAAGGGATACTGATGCACTCCACCTAGTAAAGCAGCCATTGCAAAACTGTAGCCACTAACTGCTTCTGGTGAGGTCTTCAGATTGTTGAGCCTTTCAGCGCACCTATCCAGAAATGGAGTCAACTGAAAAGGCAATGCCACAGCTACACAGCGCAAGCACCATGCAGCAGCTAGCCGAGCAGCCATGCTTGGATGAAGAAGAACTGAGGTTACTGTCTCCAATAGCCCTGTGGAAAAAACAATACATGATCATTTCATTAAAGACTATCACAAGGTATATCTACAAGGGGGCCAACTCAACGTTGCAGAGGCAGCCTTAATTCTGGTGTTTCCTAACTTCTGAGTGCTTGATTTTGCAACCTTAATTTTCTTTTAACATCGTTTTGTGTGCGTTATTTCCTATGTTTTTAAAAAATAAACTGAAATAAATTCTATCATATGGCATCATACTGATCCTCAAAAAGTTCATCAGAAAGACTGGAACCTTTAGATCCACAATACAGGCCTCTGACACTCGAGTTCAGGATGACAGAGCACCAGTACGCTGTCATCCTAAACAGCCACTAGAGGGGGATGAGACACATATTTTGCCAGTAGGTTTCATAGATATTTGATGACAGAGATATGGCAAGATTCAGAAATCTTAGGTTCCATTCCAGGTTCTGGATAGGAGTGTGCTCTAGGGGTCATAGACTCTTCTACCTCATCCCAGTCCTGTCTTCTCCCCTCCCCCAACCACTGAACTCTTCATCCTAGTCTCAAGAGCACCCTCTTCATATAGCCAGGCCCTGTCTCTTCCCCTAGGATCCTCATCCCAGTCTCCATTACCAGCCAGTCCCAGTCTCTCTTCCCCCACCATTTCCCACTTTTTCTGTCACCTGCCAGCCAAGTCTCCAATAGGCTCCATGTCCCAATCTACTCCCTCCATCACCCCCATGTCCAGCTCTTATCCCCACTGTATCTGAGTCAGGTGTCTTCCTTCTTCTCAGTGCTTGGGTGCCAGCAAGGGGAGCACTGAGAGCACAGGAGTGAGTATCCTTGCCCTTAGTTCCTATGCTCAACACCACAGTACCCCTCAGTAGCTAAGAGAAGCAACTGCAGGGAAAATCCTGCAAAGCCCCTGCACTCCAGCATGCTCAGTACAGACACTTTTCAGATAATCTACCTGTTGTTAAATGCTAACAACTCTCCACTGAACATATGCAAACTGAGCTTTTTCAAAGGCTTATAATTTGGCCAAATTTGGGCAGTTTTTCCTGGGAACAGCAAAAGGCCCATCTAGGGTGACCAGACAGCAAGTGTGAAAAATCGGGACAGGGTGTGTGGGGGTAATAGGAGCCTATATAAAAGGCCCAAAAATCGAGACTGTCCCTATAAAAAAAAATCGGGAAATCTAGTCACCCTAGGCACATCCCTGGCACAAAGACAACACCCTCCCCTTGATACAAAGCACGGAAACACCAGAGCTTCTCAACAAAACCACTTTACGAAAAAAAAATTTAACATGAGCAAAACAACTTATTTTCCCTTTTCTCAGCAACAGCTAGGCCACTTTCAATTAACTTTCCTAAAAAATTTCACCCTGAGGAAGATACCGTGTTTCTTAAATGATTATTTATCCATTATATTTTGCCAGATTTTAACCGCGTTCCATATAACTGATGAAAATGTCTTTTGAATTGCTATACAGAGCTGCTGAACTCCATCCACATACCTATAGAGGGTTCTTGTATGAGTGGCGATGCAGTGGCATTCAGGCTCTGAACCAGGCTACCTAGTTCTTGAAGGGCACACACCATCACATGTTGGCTTGCAGCTACATCAGCAGCTCCGGATTTATTTTCCCCGTTAGTATCATTCACAACCGCTTCTGCAAACAAAGAAAATCAAGTATCTTACTAAACTCTAAAAAGAACAGGAGTACTTGTACTTGTGGCACAGCCCACGAAAGCTTATGCTCAAATAAATTTGTTAGTCTCTAAGGTCCACAAGTACTCCTGCTCTTTTTGCGGATACAGACTAACACAGCTGCTACTCTGAAACCTTACTAAACTCTGTCACTTGACTCACACTTGAATACAGATAAAAATCACTACAGAAGCTGGACAGAGACTATTTAGTTTTGGCAACAGCCTTAAAAATGCAAATACAACCACAAGTTTTCTACCTACAATGACATGGCAAAAAAATCCCCCCAAAATTTAATATCTTTATGGTTATTAGCAAAAGCCAAAGTAAATAGTCCAACCAAGCCCCATTTACAATGGATGACCAGAAATTATTCTGGATACTAGAAATAATTACAAAAGTCATTTAGCTCAGAAATGGAGCAGTTCTAAAATAGCAAAGGTGACTATAGAGGAACATATGGACATATGTTTATTTTATAGATAGATATAGATAGATAGATATAGATATACATACACACACACACACACCCCTATATATACAAATTTATAAAAATGTAATCTTAATATATTTTTGCAGAGTTTTAGATTTTGTTTCTTTCAAGAATTTGCATGCACATGTATATGGGGGTTGCAAAAAGCAGGCTTATAACAAAAAAGAAACCTTAACTATGGGATAAAAGAAAAAGTCAGAAATGTAATTTGGTGCTTTCTGCTCTGTGTATTTCAAGGAGACATTTCCACTCTTCCTCCTGCACCTTATCTCAGCAGCAGTCCTAGGCTATTCAGACTGGGCAAAGAAGATATACACTGTAATAACATAAGAATGGCCATAATAGGTCTGACAATGATCCATCTAGTCCATTATCCTGTCTTCCAACAGTGGCTGGTGCCAGATCCTTCTGTGAACAGAACAGGGAAACTTATCAAGTGATCCATCCCCTCAAAGACTCTAAGGCGGGGGGGGGGGGGCAAACTACAGTCCGTGGGCCGGATCCAGCCCACGCCACTCCTGGAAGCAGCCAGCACCACGTCCCTGGAAGGTGGGGGGAGCAGAGGGGAAGGTACCCACAGGCAAGGGCAGTGCACAGAGCCCTCTGCCCCCCCTCCCTCAGGGGCCTCAGGGACATGGTGCCGGCCACTTCCAGGAGCTGCACGGGGCCAGGGTAGGCAGGTGTGCTGCTGCTACCCCGGAGCTGCTCCAGGTAAGTGGTGCTGGGCTGGAGCCTGCACCCCGAACTCCTTCTGCACCCCGCACTCCAACCCTCTGCCCTGAGCCCCCTGCTGCACCTCACACCTCTCCTGTGCCCCAACCCCCACCACACCCCACCTGCACCCTAACCCCTGCCCTGAGCCTCCTGCCGCACACCTCCTCCCTCCCAACCCCCTGCCCTGAGCTCCCTGCTGCACCTCGCACCTCTCCTGTATCCCAACCCCCTGCCCTGAGCCCCCTGCAACCCCCAGCCCTGAGCCCCCTGCCACACCCCTCCTGCACCCCAATCCCCTGCCCTGAGCCCCCTGTCGTACCCCCTCCTCCACCCCATCCCCTTGCCCTGAGCCCCTTCCTGCACACTGCACCCCCTCCCACACCTCCGCCCGCACCCAAACCCCCTGTCCCAGCCCTACCTTTTCATATATGGAGATATACCTATCTCACAGAGCTGGAAGGGACCCTGAAAGGTCATTGAGTCCAGTCCCCTGACTTCACTAGCAGGACCAAGTACTGATTTTGCCCCAGGTCCCTAAGTGGCCTTCTCAAGGATTGAACTCACAACCCTGGGTTTAGCAAGCCAATGCTCAAACCACTGAGCTATCCCTCCCCCCCTGCATGCAATTGCCCTGCATGCAATTTTCCCACCCAGATGTGGCCCTCAGGCCAAAAAGTTTGCCCATACCTGCTCTAAGGCCAGAAGGGACCATCATGATCATCTAGTCTGACCTCCTGTACACTGCAGGCCACAGAATCTCCCCCACCCTGTAACAGACCCATAACCTCTGGCTGAGTTACTGAAGTCCTCAAATGATCTAAAGACTTCAAATTACATAGAATCCTGCACTGACACTAGTTTAAACCTGCAAGTGACCCACGCCCCATGCTGCAGAGGAAGGCACAAACCTCCAGGGTCTCTGCCAATCTGACTCAGGGGAAAATTCCATTCCGATCCCAGTCATCTAATCCCAGTTTCTAGCTGTCAGAGGTTTAGGGACATCAGAGGGGACATTGACATCTATTCAAATACTGACAGACAACAAATGAGCATGCTCAGAAGTGATTTTTCAGGAACATAACTTCATTTCCATCACACCACAAAGCTAACAAAGGGGTGATTACAAAATAAGGAAATGCAAAATTTGGAGTTTCTTTGTTCAGCCATTTTTGGATTATTGGTGAAAAAAAATCAAATGTCTCAAAAATGATGAAAAAATTATTTATTGCTCTTCCAATAATTTAAAATTTCTGAGGGAATTTTCTGCTAACTACAGTGGGGAAGTAATTTCTGAGATGAGACCAATGACAGAAGTATCATCCCCAAAAGGAGAATTTTTCAGACAGCTATGACCATGGAAACAGGAATTCTGATTAAATTTCTGATATAATCTTAACTGTAGTTTTCACTATGACGTTATACCCTGAAAAAATTATTCTGTGAAAATGTTACAGTGCAGTTTACTGTCTCAATCTCCAGTCCAAATTTTCTCATTTTATAAGTAAAATTATTTATTTTAATTGCCAGCTATGTAAAACTTTCCATGGGATCTTTGAATCTTTCCTTCTCAGACACTATCACAAATAATTAAAGATTCTGCAAGCCAAGTTATGACCACATTTATCTTTTGTAACTCCATTGTCTTCAAAATATGCTCTCAGTTATTACTGCTGTAAAATCAAATTAGATTTCAGGAAGAATGCATGGGTTTATTTTAGAGCCTAATATGACCTGTGCGGTTAGTAGAAGTAATAATGCATAAGAAGGAAAGAACCCAGCTTGATTTTTTGCGACCATAAGGCAGTTTTCTGAGATAGCAGTTTGGGGGAAAAAAAAATCTTTTTACTTGTAAACTAGATGACAAGATGACAAATGCCACTCTCCACAATGCCACTTGTGCTGAATCACTATTCAGAGTAGAACCAAATTTTTAATATGGATAACTTAACATTGCAAACGGATTGAGGGAAAAAACAGCTGAGCAGTTTAACAGCATAACTGCAGTAATCATTCACTAGTAGAGAAGAAACATTATTAAAGATTTGCTCCACTTGTTTTCTAAATATAGAAAAAAGTTTCTTACCCACTGCCTTCATTTGTTTACCAATGGCTTGACAAATATCTTTGGCAGCTGCAATCTGTGCTTTCTCCCCTAATAAACTGCCTACGGTTGCTCTCAGGATAAAGGACACACATCTTCGAGAGTATACTGCCTCAACATGAGTCTGAGTTGCACGAGGATGGGACACCAGATCCAGGACATGGGACAAAAATGTAGCAAAATTGCGCTCCAACCACTGGCCTCCTAGCGTTGTAACAAAGACAACATATGCCTGCAAATACAAGATATATATATTCAATGCAAACAGAAACAAAAGGATACTGTTGTTTAAGTGAGACCCCCATTCAGAGTAGATGCATTGGAGGTAAATATTACTGATGGCATAGTGAAACTGAATGGTATACCTTTCATCGCATTTAGACTGTATGTCCACCATGTCAGTGTTGCTAACTCCTACTGTGGAATTACCAATTTGCAATGTGTATTGTCTATGCCTGGTTTGTAATTTCTCCCTAGCTAGTGCTGCAGACCTCTCGTTCAAAGATTAGCATGCGGGGTCTCTGATATAGCTGATGCTAAGAGACCCATTAAATAGAATAAAAATAGTATTGGCTGTTGAGGAAACTGCAGTAGGAGATGTAAAGATGATTTTAATTTTATAAACCTTTCTTCTGGAAGAAAGGCTTTTGCTATAACTGAGTCCAATATGATCCCTAGGGAAGGGATCCTTTCAGTTGGATTTAGGAGTGATTTTTCCCCAATTTATACACAATTCCAGACTGGAATTTACATGAAACAGGGTCTCTTCCTTCAACAAAATTTTATTAACCAGTCGTTAAGTTAAGGGATATACATAAATCCCCTGCTTTCTCAGCTATGCTGCTACAACAGTGACATTTTTGAACACTCTCAGGCTATAGAAAAACCGAAAGGGAGGACCTTATACGAAAATACTCCTCTCCTACAATGAAACACAGATATTTCCAGTGAGATGGCCATACTGAAATGTGGAAATGCACATCTTAAATCCAGAGCAGCAAACCACTCCTGAAGGCACAGAGAAGAGATTATAGAAGTTAGAGATAACATGCAGAAACTAGACTCTTTAATAGACTCATCCTCTCTGAGCAAAGCCAAATGAACGAGGTCCTTCATTGAGGATAGAACAGGAGAGAGGGGTTGGTGAAAAAAAGGGATTTGAACTGTACCAAATAACCACATTCAATAAACTCTAGAATCCAGCTCCCAATGTTATTAATTCCCACTGCTGGTAAAAACGGGACAGGTGGCTCCCCAAACAGAGGATAACAGAATCTAACAAAAAGAACAGGAGTACTTGTGGCACCTTAGAGACTAACAAATTTATTTCAGCATAAGCTTTCGTGGGCTACAGCTCACTTCTTCGGATGAATAGAATGGAACACACAGAAAGAAGATATTTATACATACAGAGAACATGAAAAGGTGGAAGTACGCATACCAATTGTAAGAGGCCAATCAATTGAGATGAGCTATCAGTAGCAGCAGAAGAAAAAACTTTGAAGTGATAATCAAGATGACCCATAGAAGGTGTGAGGAGAACTTAACATGGGGGAAAAAAAGAATCTAACGAGGCTGACTTGTAGCTGTGACTTTTTGCCAACTTTGTGATCTTGGAGGAACTGCAGAAGACAACAATGTTGAAGATTACCTTTCTTATTGTGATGCTTAAATGACCTCTTTTTGTTTTGCTGTTGTTGTTGAGAGGAATGATGTTGAGGTTGGTAATAATAACTCTTCCTCTGTTAGGAATATGGAACCAATGACAAAGAAAGTGGATATTGTCTCTGGTATAGGAAAAATGGAACTGCAGATGATCCTGTTGCTGTATCAAACTCCAAAGGTCTAACTGTAGATCTGTCGTTCTTCCTTTTCCCTAGCAAGTCATCTGACTGTGCACTAAGCAAGCCATCTTCAAAGGGAAGATGCTCAAATCTCATCCTTGTCTTCTGAGAAAGACACACTGATCTTCCCCAAGCATGTTTTCTTAATGCAACAGCTGAAGCCATTGCTCTAGCTGATGCATCTAAAGAGTCAAATGCTGCTCTCAATGGATATTTAGCCACATGTTGCCCTTCTACTAAAAAAGCATTTATTAATCTTTTATGCTCCTCCAGTAGTGCATTCAGGAATGTCACAAAGTTTCCCCATAAATGATATTGATATCTAGCCATGACAGCTTCATAATTTACTATTCACAAACCTAAAGGAGCTTAAGAAAATATTGTCCTCCCAAACACATCCAGTCTTTTCCCTTCTTTATCAACAGGGTGAACTTGTGTACCCTTCGACATCAGTAGTGCAGCCTCTACTACTAACAAATTAGAAAAGGAATGAGAATGGAACAAAGCAAGACCTTCCTGAGGGAACTGGTACAATTGTTCAGCCTTTTCGCACAGAAGGAGCCTCAGGTGGGCAGGAGCAATGGAGAAATCGTGACTTCTTCAACTCTCCATCTCTTCCCTGGGGAAACATCCATTTGAATTGGTGCCAAGAAAATGTCCAGGTCCTGCTCAATTGCAACACAAGCGTTAATCACTGACGGAGTCAGAGATGGACCCAATCTATGTACCTGGCGTTGTGATGCTGTGTCAATTCAGTTATCAGATCCTTAATCTTTCCCCCAAACCACTCCTTCCTTAGCTTTAATTTTTGGATCCACCTCATTTGGATCCAACAGAATTGGATCGGAAGAAGAAGAACATCTCCTGATTCTACCTCAAGAATCTGTATACCCAGTAGGTTCCCTGAAGACCCTCTCGCAGACTGGCTCTTTTCAAACAGGCTGGCACCAATGAGGATAGAGCATTCATGCGCCCCCTAATGTCAGTCTTTTTCTTGTGGATTGGCTCTGGAAACAGAGGCTAACACCACAGTAGGAGAGACTTTCCTCTTCAGACCCTTCCTATTTCCGGATCCGTTAGTGCTGAGTACTGAGGAGGCAGCTTTATCTTTCTTCCTTGCAGATTCGCTCAAGGCCTAAACTGGTTTCTGCGATGAACCTTGCATTTGCCTGGTTTCAGATGGTTTTGCTGACAGTAGTAAAATTGCTTGAAGGCTGTTCTGACTCTCTCTTTTTCGCTCACGTTGCAAAAGGTTGAGCAAATCAAGCATTCCAACAGGGAGCGTCCCTCATTCCAACATGCCAGGCATCTGGCATGTGCATCAGATGCCGGACACACAGCCAGACATGATATGCACATTTTAAATCTGGGGTTTTTAGTCTTTGGTTCCACCACCTTTGCACCAAAAAACTTATAACTAACTTACTCTATAATACTAATACCAAAACTATTAACTACTGGACTAATTACCTAACTATGAACTAACTAGATCAAACTAGCTACAGATCTAGGAACACCCTGGAACAGTTCCTAATCTGTTCAGCTGGTGACGGCTGGAAGGAACTGAAGCAGCTGGAGAGTCACCCCCCTTTTATGCCCTCACCCTGGAATGTTCACTGAGGCGGGGGGAGGGTGAGGGAGGTACATGAACACTCCAATAGCAACTGCTAGCTAGAATTCCATAACTCCGGCTGCACTGGTCGGAGCATTCAAAGACTTGGAATATGCAGGGGACCCTTGGAGAAAAACAAATGAGTCTTGCGTAGCGCACTGAGCCTCAACAGATCACGGCTCTAGCAAGCTGACTACAGGAGGAAGTGTATTTCAGCGTTGAGGACCCATACTGATGCCCAGCTCTATTTGTTTTAAACCAAGTGACTGGGATCTTGAGTACCTCAGCAGATCTCAGTTGCTACAGTACCATGAGGGAAGAGAGATGGTCTAACAGGCTTGCCAGGATCCAAACGATTTAGGGCTGCAAACTTTACCCAGAAAGCCAATTGGTAGCCAATGCAGATCACAGAGAACAGAAGTAATGTTCTCTCTAGGGGAAATACAATTTAATTACATTCTGAACCATCCATTTTTCAAATGGTTTTAAGGACTACCCTTAGCACACTGTGACTGGATGATATTTTTCATATATCGAATATACATAGCAAACTCTAATCTGTGGTTGTCATATTCTCTAATTAAAAAAAAAAAAAACTTTCAAAAGTCAGCCAGTACTACTAGCTAAAAAATAATAGCAATGTTTATGTAGTGCATGGAACTAATGTAACTATCTCAGAGTGAACAACAGGAAAGTCAAATTGAATTCATAAATAAGTTTATACAAATTGCCAGATTAAGAAAGTTCGTTATACATTTATGCAATCCTACTGTGCTGGGACAAATAAAAGAACAATAACTTAATAAGCCTATATATTCACATTTTTCCCCAAACAGGGCTAACAGCTCCACGGTGTATATTGTTACTATATTTTCAGAAAACATGAGAGGGAAAAAACTTCTAAAAATTATCACAAACCTGTGTGACACCAACTCGCACTTCCCGATTGACAGACCCTCCTACTTTCAACATCTCACCACCACTTTTTAGGAATCCTGACCCTCCTCGAAGAAACCCTGTGGCCATAAGTTCTAGGACTTCCTCCAGTGTAGCCCGCTTCACGTTCTGACGCATCACTTTTGGAAAGAGAACAGTAATTATTTAATTGTATACTTTTCAAAACAAGACAATCTAGCCATCTTAAGACGCACCATTAAATTTTCACATCATTCCTGCCACCATGAATCCATTTTTAATCCTTATTCTTTCTGCATTTTTATTATTTTGAATTCTCAGTGGAAGACTCCCACCTGTGCTCTTCACCATGACGCTCACACTGCTGCCATAGCAAAAGCAAAAACAAACTACAAGGATCAAACCATTCAGATCTGTCTCAAACTACTGCTGCCAGCATTCATGTACAGAACCACAGGTCTACGCCCAGATGTGCAAATTCTTTAAGGGAGTTGAAATGAAGGGAGATGGCCAAGTCTAGCCCCTTGGTTGCCCACGGTAACATGGTCTGGGGGGAAAAGAAGCCCTCTGCATTTCTCCCTAGGAATTCCCTGTGGCTACATTGAAGGAACAAACCTGATATGCTGCAGAGGATGCCACACTCAGTACTTCTCAGCCATATTACATAAGTTCATAAATAAAGCCTTATTTTTAAAATAATAGAATCCTCCCCCCTTTGAAAAGGTTTATGTTTCAGGTTTATATGTGTGGTGATGGTGGGGGTTGAGGAAGTAAGTAAGAGAAAATAAAATAAGATATACGGACCTAATTCCAACCTTCAATATCGAGAGAGATGCATCACTATAAATCCACACATTTTAAATTACTCATGACTGTCCTTTCACATGCATGCACAATAATAGCTTTTTCTTACATAAGGCAATATACTAGTGCACATCTGAGAGATCAGAATCTGGTTCTCAAGTCTTGTCTACACTAGGAATTTTTTGGACCCATAATTTCCAAACGGATGGACTCCACCTGTGGTAGTACCAGTGGAGGATTTAACATAGACAAGGCTCAGGTGTTTTGACTGCCATGGTTAGATCACACAACCGCAAAAATGCCTAAGCCAGTCTGACCCTTGCCTACATTACATCTTCCATGAGTGCTATGGGTGTGGAACTATGCCCCTTTGAGAATGATGGAGCCAATCAATCTGACCATAGACAGGGTTTGAATGTGCAATTTCAAGCTCTTTTTTTTTTTCTTAAGGTAACAAAAAAAGAGTATTTTAGGTCCCATTATTCTGAGATTGTTAAACTAGATATTTACTCTTCTACATATTTACCACAATATCTGTCTACAAGGGGCAGAGAATGACATAGGGGGGTATTCCAGCAACTACACATTTTACAAAGTGGATCAGACTACAGTTGTGATGGGTAAGGTTATGATTTAGTCATGGGTATTTTTAGTAAAAGTCATGGGCAATAAACAAAAATTCACGGCCCATGACCTGTCCATGACTTTTACTAAAAATACTTGTGATTAAATCTTGGGGTGGGGGGAGGTTGGGGCTGGAAGGCCGCGGCTGATGGGGGGAGTCCAGGACGCTGCTGGGGAGCCATCCAGGGCCAGCGGCACCAGATGCCAGGAGCCGTGGACCATGGCTGCTCCGGCTGGCTGCCCGGGGACCACTGCCTGGAGCCGCGGACTGCAGCTGCTCCAGCCACCCCAGGACCACTGCTGGGCGCCACCAGAGCAGCTGTTAGCGTGGCTGTCCCCGGGGCCACTCCAGCAGCGGCTTATGTAGCTGTCCTGGGGGCCACCTGAGCAGCTGCCCCTGGAGCCAGCTGCTTGGGCGGCTGTGGGGTCAGCCAAAATGGCCCCTGAAGAAGTCACAGAGGTCACGGAAAATCATGAAATCCATGATTTCTGCAACCTCCGTGACAGATACGGAGCCCTACTGATGGGTGGGAACAAGTTGGAGATCTATATGTACACACTAGTCTTGAGGAATCATAGTTGAGATCTTAGCTACTGTGCTTTTGTTCACAGTTTTGTTTTCATGTTTTATGCCAGGTGAATTACATTTTTATAAGTTAAAACTAAACTATTGTCTTTATCTCCTTATGGGAATTTAATAGGAAATCCACAGACTTCACTCATTTTAGTTTATTCATTTTAAAATTTAAGTCTACCCAAAAAAAAAAAAACCTTCCATGAACTGAAACAATAACACACCATGCCATGTGGTCATATAATGCAATACCTGTTGCTTGTTTTGGTATCAACGCTGTAGCCATGACTGTCCCCAAAAGCTTCGACACTGCAACTCGTACACCATAATTTGAGTTTTCCAGAGCTTTAAAGCAGAGTGTTGCTACATTTTCTAGCTCAGCAGTCCACATAAATACAGCTTCATTTTGTAGTTCCAGTAGGCACTGTAGGAAAATAAGAATTATTGAATACTACTACAACCTACTTTTTCCCTTCTGTCATTAAGCCTATGCATTAGGTTTATTTGGCAGACATGTTAATATGGACCCCTTCAGATTGGCTTTTTGTTTTTGTCTCTCTCATTAAAGCCCAGATAACTTGGCTGGAACAACCACTGAAGAAAAACCATGGGACTATGCACCTCTTTTGTTTTAATATACTCAACTAGCCTTGAAATATCTGAAGTAAATCACACTTTCAGCCTCCTTTGTGTACAAGACTGTAAGGGACACCTAAGAGATGAAGACAGATCCAATAGTCGAAGGACCTCTGATACTCTAAACTGAGCAGACTGTGCTAGTCATAGCTGACAGAGGCCCTCTTCAGGCCTTGTAGGAAGAAATATTATCCTATTCTACATGTCAAGATCCATAATGTGTACAGTCTCCCCAGTCTAGTGAGATTTTAACATCTTAGACTGACTTCTTGCTGAGAATTTGTGTAACTCTCCACCTCATCCATATTCTCCACCAGTCTGTGGGCAAAGCTTGTACTAGTTCTTTTTGTGTGTTTTCATTGTTGATTTGGAGTAATTTTGTCAAACAAAGTATTCTAGTGAAAAATTAATATGCTGCATGATATATATCTGGCTTTAACAAGTATTGTACAACTGTAGGAATGGTTCTTGTCTGCAGATTGCGGTAAAATCTAGAACTCCAAACATACATATGTAAATAAGTTTGGATGTTGGAATGTGCGAAAGTTAAACTGAAATTTAATTTCTTATGTCCAACTTGGATTTAGAGAGCAGAAAAAAGACCTAGTAGATCATCTGCTTCATCTATCTGCCTGTGCAGCATTATTCCCGAAAATACATCTTGAGTGTCTTGTTTTAAATTACTAAAACTGGAGAGACTAACTTTTGAGGAAAGATTAAAAGAATTACTTATAAATAGGGTATCTTGATCAAGAAACAATAAAAGAGTGACCTGAAAACAATCAATAAATATTTGTAGGATGTAAACATCAGAGGACAGGAATTTAAGATGGAACAAAAGTATAGAAAGATACAATTTAAAAAATGTAGCTGAATATCAGGAACGATCAGGAAAAAAGATTAACCTGTTGATCTAATAAAAAGTGGAATAGTCTCTTAAGGGAAGAGGTAGAATCCCAGTTACTTGGAACATTTAAAGCTAGACTGGACAAGGCACTAAGAAGTGTACTGTAGAGATCAATTCTGTATGTGTAATTCCTATAATTCTGGGATACAACTTTAGAAAGACAGATTCACACACACACACACACAAAAAGGCAGCTTTCCCCCAGCACCACTAATTATTTACCACTAAACAAAAAATAAGTGGATTGTTATTTATCACATTAATTACAATCTAACATAAATACACAAACATCAGAGTTTATGAAAGTACAGAAAAGGCACCATGGCACAGTGAACAAATATTCCTCACGACACCGACCTCCCTATTCAGGAGTGAAAGTACTATAAAAGACTTACTGGTACGGGGGCGGAGCTGCGGGTCAGCCTCCCCCAGCCAGCCTTTCCACACTGCCTGGCCTGCGCCGCCTGGGGCTCCAGCAGTGATTTAAAGGGCCTGGGGCTCCAGCCACTGCAGCAGCGGCCGGGAGCCGCGGGCCCTTTTAAGTCACTGGGCCCTGGGGCAGCTGCCCCTTTTGCCCCCTCCATCCCCCCGTCAGCAGCCCAGGGGGGAGGGGAGAGCAAAGGGGCAGCGACTTTGAAACACTGCCACAGCAGCGCTTTAACGTCAGCTGTGTACGGGCCAGTACCGACAGCCACTTCTTACCGATACGCCGCCCACTTTCACCTCTGTCCTTATTCCTCCAGACTGAAAATCATCAGTATAAACTCAAAAGCAAAAACTGCCATTTTCCCTATAACTCACTTTGTGGCTACCAATTTTATATTCAAATAGCACCAAGTGCTATGATTTCAGAAATATACCACACTATACAATAAAGAACAGGCAGCAAGCCCAACGACAAGGAACCTAGCATCCAGAGCACAAAGAATATTGGATTTTTAAACCTTATACAAAATTTACCTACCTTAGCTACTGCACATCGTACAGCCATAGATCTATCCGTCAGCAGAGATCGTGCATTCTTATAAATATCACGGTGGCATGAAGCTGCTGCACCACCCAGTCCATTTAGAACTTTCTGTAAACTCATTAATATTTCACTTCGGCCCTGAGACTGCATACGTGAAAAGAAAGCAAAGGGTAAAAAAAGCAATTCACAATCAACAGCTCTTCATAGTTATTTGTACCCCAAATATCAGCATTATAGTTGTATCACCTGCTCTTTTTGTAGCAGTATATATTGGTGTGCATAGATGAAACAAACTCATCAATTCAATAAAACCACTTAAGATAGCTAGAGACTGAACAAATACCATGAAATTATTGTGTAGTGTTCATGTAGTTGCAAATGCTACATTTAAGTATGTAAAATGGTCTCAGTTGTTATAGGCCATATGGCACATGTGTATGCTCAAAGTATAGCAAGAGCCCCCTGTCCTTCCTGGCTGGTGTAGCGAGAGCTCCCTCTGCTGTTTCAATCTACTTCAAGCACTGGGTATATGTATAGTAATAAACATATGCATAAAAGTGCACTTTCAATCAGGGGTGCTGGAACACTTTGTAAAATGGGGGTGCTGAGAACCACTGAATCAGATTGTAAGCTCTGTATATGATGTAAACCACTTCAAGCCAAAGGGTTCTGAAGCACCCCCCGCACCCTTAGGTCCAGCATCTATGCTTTCAATATGAAACAGGAATAGAAAATAGTACACATGTAGACGTTGCTATTGTAATTGTGAAATCTTAATGTTGGATTCAATCTTCTAGTTTAATTTTTTGCATTTTATTTCTCAGCTATATTAACAAGGAAAAAATGGGGGAGGGAGAATCTAGAACTATTTGGTTTACATAGTTCATAAGCTCCATCCACAAAGCTTTCAACCTGCCAATGCACATTTAACTAGCTGCACACATATGCATTTTTCTTAAATGTGTAATTTTGTACTTGGCACATTCAGTATACAAACTTCAGTCTATGACAACTGTGAAATCAAACAATTTTTTTTTTTTGGAGTCTAGCTAAATTACTATTCCTCAATGAGCACATGGAATGTTTCCACTTAGACTGTAAGCTCTTTGGGGCAGGGATCTAAGTTCCCTGTAAGCTGCGTGGCCGCGCAGCAGCCTATTTACTGCTGCACAGGCACCTAGGGAACTTGGTGGGAGAGGGGCACACCTCCCTCAGCCTCCACCTAGCCCGCCCCTCAACCTGTGATGTGTCACACATCACCTTCATATCGGTGCACGTAACAAAATTCATTCTGCACATGGTGGGAAAAATTAGAGGGAATGCTGGCGGAGACTGTCTATTTTGTTCTGTGTTTTTCATGAAAACTAAATAGCTGTAAGACTAGGAAACGGTGTTTGTCAAAAAGAGTTCAACAAAATAAGCTCAAATTTCTCTCCCACTACCCCCCAAAAAATATTAAGATGACAGCAAACTCAATAGCCTCTGTTGAAAAGTTTTTTTCTGCAAGTCCAACTCAATACAAGACTGTTTGTCGGGGGGGGCAGATTCAGTAGCCAGCACAGTCCAAATAAACCCTATGTACTCAGGCTTAGGTCCAAATCCCTTTCTTCAGGGTCAGGTTTACTAATCAACAGAAGACACAAAGGTTCAAATATATACAAAACACTTGAGAATAGATACTTTTCCACTATCTGCCAGCTGGAAAGGGGAGAGGACACATCCTTCTCCACAGGGCCGGCTTTAAGCCAATTCGGCCGATTCCCCGGAATGGGGCCCCGCGCCTAAGAGGGCCCCGCAACGTCCAGGGCTGCCGGTGGAGCGGAAAAAAAAAAGAAAAAAAGCCACGTCCTGCTTCTCCCCCCTCCCTCCAGCGCTTGCACTGCCATACAGCTGATCAGCGCAAGCCTGGGAGGGAGGGATGAGAAGGAGGAATGCGGCATGCTTGGGAAAGACGCGGGGCCAGGGCGGGGATTTGGGGAGGGATCCAATGGGGCAGTGAGGGGGCGGGGATTTGGGGAGGGATCCAATGGGCAGGGAGGGGTGGAGTCAGGGCGGGGCCAGGACGGAGGGGGCGCGAGACAATTCGCGTCCTGGTGTGAGGCCCTGCACCTGCTAAAGCCGGCACTGCTTCTCCAGGAAGATAGCCCTTCCTGTCTGCTATGGAGAGCCTTTCCCACGTCCTTCCCTGACGCTGGGCTCTCAGTAGTAGGGTAGACTGCCTGTTTACAGCAGCTGCTGCTTGCAACTTAGGCCTGTCTACACTACAGAGTTAGGTCAACGCAAGGCAACTTACGTCGACCTATGTAAGCATCACGATGTGATGGAGAGACTGCCGAGACTCATCAAGCCCTCGGATCGCTCCCCCTTCCTGCTTCTCCACGTGGGCACCAATGATACTGCCAAGAATGACCTTGAGCGG